CTCTCTCGCGCTCTCGCTTCTCTCTCTTATCTCTCGCGCTCTCGCTCTCACTCTCTTATCTCTCGCGCTCTCGCTCTCTCTCTCTCTTCATCTTGCGCTCTCGCTCTCTCTGTTCATCTCGCGCTCTCGATCTCTCTGTTCATCTCGCGCTCTCGATCTCTCTCTGTTCATCTCGCGCTCTCGATCTCTCTGTTCATCTCGCGCTCTCGATCTCTCGCTCGCTCTCTCGCTCGCTCGCTCGCTCGCTCTCTCTCTCGCTCTCTCTCGCTTTGAGAGATGAGCGAGAGTAAGTGCATTAGCAATGAAGCTTTTCAGGGCGGGCAAGCCACCAGCAGCTAGAGATCAGTGGGAGGGTTACATGGTCAGCTAGTTCGGGTCTTCATCACAAAGTAACGTATGATTACGGGGTGTTTTATCTGTTGCTGGCCTGATGGTGTGTAATAAAAGCCCCGGCATACCCGGTGTGAACACCGTTACGTTGTCGTTGTGTCTGATGAGCAATTACTGTATGATGCTGTATGATGCTGTATGTTGTCTGGCTGCTTCTCTCTCTCTGCCTCTCTCTCTCTCTTTCTCTCTCTCTCTCTCTCTCTCTCTCTCTCTCTCTCTCTCTCTCTCTCTCTCTCTCTCTCTCTCTCTCTCTCTCTCTCTCTCTCTCTCTCTCTCTCTCTCTCTCTCTCTCTCTCTCTCTCTCTCTCTCTCTCTCTCTCTCTCTCTCTCTCTCTCTCTCTCTCTCTCTCTCTCTCTCTCTCTCTCTCTCTCTCTCTCTCTCTCTCTCTCTCTCTCTCTCTCTGTATATATGCATGTTATTGGGTTTAGCATATGTTTAGATAGCAAAATAATCAATAAATCTGCAGTACGTGTATATATGATGACTAAAGACTTTTATTTACAAGTGGTTAACGCGCCCTAATAAATAATATCTGTTCTCTAAAGCTATACAAGTCTGTTCATATCTGACGTCACTAATTTACACACAGATGTACAAAAATATATAGTAATCGAACATTATTTTCGCACACGCTTCTCTCCGCTTAGCTATGTAAAATATGCTATAACAGGTGAGCATCCATCGCTCTGTGTTCACACTATGTACAGTTTACTGTCTAGTATGTACTACCTGTATGTACATTACCTAGTTTACTGTCTGCCGTCCGCATAATAGAAACAGCAGGTGCGACATTTGAACGACCAGCTGCCAGATGGCGTCCCGGTAAACCCGGTTCGTCACGTGACAGTCAGCCATTTTAACAGCCAATAAGAATCTAGGATTTGCGACAGAAACAATCGGTAGAGAGCGGTAATATAGACTCTCACACGTCATTGTTGTTGTTGTATCAATTATCCTTACGAAGGACGCCGTCGCCACTCTAAGAAGATTTGTGTGCATAATACATGTTCGAGGCACGAAGATTTACCCAGGCGAATCTACGCGACTAGTGCGCATGCGCACTTGTACATAAACACGAGCAGCAGCAGCATGAGAATTGCGGCGTAGTAGATCCGCCAGGTGGCGACACCGCCGTCGACGCACTTGTCGACGACGATCAGCTGCGATGCGCCGTCAGAGGGCGGCACCGCGCGCTGCTTCAGTGGCGCCATCGTGTTGCGAAACGTGTCCTGTATTGTCGTCTTTGCTCCCGACCACGCTCCAGGCCCCATCAACCGATACTGCGCCGGCACGCACGGCCCGACCAGACACCGCAAAGCGAGAAACGGGTCTCGCTTAAACAGACACCAGAGGTCGGGGCGAGCGCCCACTTCCGCTGCCAGTTCGTCCATGAGTGGAATCCAGAACGCCTGCCGGATAGTAATAAATAATGACGTCACTACATGATCGGTGTTTGTGCGGGGGAGTGCAGGTAACTTATTAAACCTGGGTGGGGGTCAGAAGGGAGGAGGCACGTGGCATGTGTGTACGGGAGAGGTAGTTAATACATTAAACCTGGGTGGGGTTGAGGGAGTACGGCCCCTCCCTTTCTCTCGTTCTCTTCCCTCCCCCCACCCTCCCCTCCCCTTAACCTACCAACCACCACCCCGCTCGGCACACCCCCCGAAATATCTTCTCATTATTTACAATTACCTCCAACGTGTGGCGCTGCGACTGCACGTACTGGCCGCGTATGGCATCACTCTTCCTGTTTACGTCATTCGTCATTTCCGCTTCCGTCAACAACGTTCTCTTACCTGCGCAAAGTGAGAGCAAGAGCAAGCTGTAGACCGTAGTAACAACCGCCGATGGTCTTAGATTTAGTTAATTATAATAAGTAATTATATTTAGGTGATTAAATTTAGAAAAATAGTAAGAGGGGCATTTTTAGAAACGTTTTTGTTATCTTTTTCTCTCTGGTTTCCTTTCTCTCTCTCTCTCTCTCTCTCTCTCTCTCTCCCAGTCTCTCTATCTCTATTTTTTTCTCTTTCTCTCTCTCTCCATTTCTCACGCCTGCAAGAATAAAAAGCAGTAAGCAATACCCTTATTTCAGTATATCTACCAGCTGCTACAGGCCCACCTTTTTTCCTCTGTTGACGTGGCCCCTGGGAGAGGGGAAAGGATTAGAAAAAGGAGAAGGGGGGGGAAAAGAAGAAAGATATAGGGAATAGAAAATTAAGAGAAGGAGGAAGAAAAGCCGAAAAAGCCGGAGAGGGGAGAAAAGAGCAGGAAAAGAGAAGAAGCCGGGGGGGAGAGTAGAATAAGGGAAGGGGAAGGATGAGATTCTTTAGGATAGAAAGAAAAAAGAGGCGAAGGCAGGAAGAGGAAGGAGAGAGTAGAGAGAGAAGAGAGAGTAGCGAGAGAGAGAGAGAGAGAGAGAGAGAGAGAGAAGAGAAGAGGAGAGAGAGAACGAGAGGTGGGGTGGGAGGTTGTGGTTTGGGTGTTTGTTAAGTGAGTTACATGGAACACCCGCGAAGTGCGTGCACCCGCCTCTATGGCACACACCACAGCTCTCACGCGCACACACAGGCAACAGATCACACACACACACACAGCACACACACAGCCCACAACACACACCACACACACGACACAGCACACACAATCCCAGCACATACCACCCTGTACAACACACACCGCGCACGCCACACACACACCGCGATCACACACGACACAGAGAACACATTGCACAACTGCGCAACACCACCACGTTCAGGGGACACACATCCACACACACACACAACACACACACACACACACACACACGCCACGCCCACGTGATATACACACAGCGGCGCCAACGGCGACCGTATATACACGCGCACGCACGGCACACGTATATACACACACACGCCCACCGCACGTATATACACCGCCAACGCACGAACATATAAAATATTATTATAGTGGAATATATATCAGTAAAACCACCACTCTGGGTTGAACATACAGGGACCACACACATGTTACATAATACACCACACTACGCCCAACTGCAGCGTAAACACTGATGGCTACTTACTGTTTATGTCGAGCAATCATCTACACTGGACCCTCTCATCTGCTCAACAATCTATCGCCTCTAACACTTTCAGACTAGTATGCACTAATATTCGCACTGAATCACCGTTGCTATCTCTCCGGTGGTTTAAGGTAATAAAAAGTAAAAACTTCTAATTATTTGCGCAGCTCGTAAGACCAGTCCAGTCTGCTCATACACACGTTAACTTACCGCATACTTACACTAATAACGTGAGTAGATAACACGTGATATCTGTAACTTACTCGCTTATTATCTGGTCAAAGTTTCGCTGATCCACATCTTACGTATGATACTAGTAACCAACATTACGTACATTAGTCGGCTGAACATAGTGCACAAATTCCTATAGGGATATTCTCTATGTGGAATTGACTGCAGGTACCGTAAACAGTTCCTACCCACGCTACGTAGAGCCTTGGAGGCGCACCCGATACGATCCATGACGAAACTACCGCAGGCCGCATCCTACCGGATCTGTGCAGGTCGAGGAACCGGATGTTCCGGCGTTCACGGGAAAGCCCAACTCTCAAGGCCACGAACCGACAGGTGTCGTTATTTGAAGGCGGACTGCACGAGGTAGGTTGACGTAGTCATCGCCATGCCACCGGTAGGTGGCGCGCATGCGGGTCGGCACGGATGGCGGTTGCTAAAACTGTGATTTAGACATGAATACAGGCAGGGGGAGAGATAGCGAGGGAGAGAGAAGAGAGAGAACGAAAGAGAGAGGAAAGAGAGAGAAAGAGAGGAGAGAAGGGAGAGAAGAAAGAGAGAGAGAAAAAGAGAGAGAGAGAGAAGAAAGAGAGAGAGAAAAAAACGAGAGAGAGAGAGAGAGTGGAGAGAAGAGTGAGGAGAGAGAGCTGAGAGAGAGTGATGAGGGAGAGGAGCGAAAAGAGACGACGATGATGGCAGACGAGTG